TGTTCTTAGGAGAGATGATCTTCACAAGGACGCCGTCGATGAAGTCTCGGTTGGCGATGAGGACGTGAAAGCGGTGGCCGCAGTTCTTCACGCACGTTTCCAGGACCTAGGTGTGGAAAAGGCAAATGGCAGCCGAAACAAACGAAGGTCGCCAACACATCAAGAAGCAGTTCATCTCTTTTAAGAGTGGCTGGTTCGGGAGGTCGCTCAGAGGCTTCAGCTGGAGGTTCGCCCCTTGGCTGCTATGTAGACGCTGCTCTGCCACCCTCTTGCAAGCACAAGGAACCCCCTCCCTCTCTCCAAATCTTGGGGCTGATGAGTGCATGGATTCTCTCAAGGTGAGAGAAAAGGCAGAGCATCTTTCGGCTGCTACGGTTCCAGGGGAAGCCGGTGGCTCTCTCTTGAGATGCCATTAGACGGTGTCTCTCCTCACCCCTGCTTATAACGGCAGAGGCCAACGGAACAGGTAGCCCAAGAACATTTGAACAGCGCTTATTCCCCCCACCCCTGCAAGACCAAAACAAGCTCCGGTCCTCCTTTCGAACGCGTGCAGGGAAGGCAGAGGTTGGACCACAGGAAGCCTGGGTTCCCAAAGCTCTCCCACAATTTCCAAAACTCAGGACATCCGTGTTGGGTCCACCAGCGAGCAGCAGAGGAGCATCAAAGCTCATTTTCTTGCTCCGCTCCCTTCGGCCTCTTGGAAGCACGGGCGTACTGTAGTTCCAAGAACTATTTTCACACCTAGGCAAGCAGCTAAGAATAGGAGCAGAAAAGTGGATTTTCCTCAAAGCAATGCCATGGCCGTAACACAGGGGTTAACCCCCCCCCCGGCCAGTCACTACCAGTGAATCCCTAACCAGCCCTCTCTCCTCCCTGAAAGCAGCCAGCCAATAAGTTCCCTTGCTTCTGGAAATGAGGGGAGAGTTTTGTTTTGCCAACTTTTGGAAGCCAATGGGCCAAATTCACACCTCCTGCCATAATGGCCTAGTCAGAACAGGGAATCCCTTGGCTTGCACCAATCTCTGGATTTGGCAATGACAGCTGTGGCTCAAAATGACACCCAGAAGCCTTTATTTAGTGAGTTAACTTTATATCCTGCTTTTCTCCCAAGGCAGCGCACAATGGTTTATATAATTTATTTTAAATAAATAAAATAAATTATAAATCACCTACTAATGTTGTAGTAATAAAACACAAACAGGCTCCCACCTTAAAACAATCATGAAGCTGAAAAACACTTGGTTGAGTGTAGGTGGGTGTGCACACACCCACGCAATGGGGGGGCAGCTCCCTACAAAACTGCTTACACGGAGGGCAAATGTATACAAAAATAGATACAGGTATTTTCCTGTGTTTTGAAAACAAAATGGGCAGGCCGCTGAACAGAATTCTTTTGAAATTGACATGGTCCACACAAAAAAGACGTAACTGTCAGCTCCTAGTGTGCCAGATATATTGCGGTCTTCACCCTTCCCTTCCCTTCCCTTCCCCTTCCTTCTCCCTCCCTTCCTTCCTTGGCATCTTGATAGCCAGGTTTGGCCCAGGAGTCTTCAGCTCCCAACCCCTACCTTTCCCTTCTTCTTACCGTTAAAGCCAGCATCACTTCTCTGTAGTTTTTGTTCCCATTCAACCTCTTCTTGAGTGCCCGGATGGCATCCTTTGGACTAATGGGAAAAAGTGGGAGGGGGGGATAGAGTATCTTGGTTAAGTGACAGCTTGAAGACCTTTAACTCCTCCAAATAGAGAGAAGACTGCAGTCCCGCTTAAGATCTCCTATCAAGGCTTGGTGTTTGGAGACCTAGAGTTTGACTCATCAATAGGACAGGTTTCCACAGAACTGGGGCAGCGCATGTCCCGTCCCGTCCCACCACCCCCCCGGAGTCAAGGCAAAAATGCTTTGACTCTTCCTAAACATGACAGAAAACAAGCCAGCTCGTTCTGGGCTGGGGGCCAAGTGGAGGCAACCACGCTAGCACTGCAGAGTAGCCAAGAAGCCAGCGGTGCCGAGGGACGCCACCGACTGCCCTGCTCGCTTAGCACTGTGGAATGGACACCAAACCGGATGGGACACGAGACACAAACTAAGCCACTACAGGGTTCACGGGGCAGCCTCAAAGTGCAGTCTTTTATGATTTTGCTGGAGCTCTCCAATGAAAGCATGACTCCATCAGAATCATGTATGCATTGAAGGCGATGGGAAGAGAACGTGATGGAATCATTGTAGAATAATGGCGTTGGAAGGGTCCTGGTCAGGCCATCGAGCCCGACCCACCCTGCTCAAGGCAGGAAACCAAATGAAAGCATGCCGGATAGTTCAGCTTTCTCTTGGATGCTTCTATGCAAATCCAGAGAAGTCTTTTACAACCAAATGTACGTTAACAGCAACACCTGGATGAGAAACAGCTCGGTAGTCTGGGAGAGATGCAAACACTCTACACCCCCAGACGCAATGCTCCCCACTTCGACGCTGGCCTCCTATCTCTTACAACCAAATGTGCGTTAACAGCAACATCTGGATGAGAAACAGCTCGGTAGTCTGGGGGAGATGCAAACACCCTACACCCCCCGGACACAATGCTCCCCACTTCGACGCTGGCCTCCTCTAGGATCTCCATCCAGCAGCCTCCCAGTCTGAGACCTCCACTTCGAAGTCTATGATACTGGGCTTCCTCGAGCGTGGATGATGATTGGCAGCAGGTCTCCTGAAGCAGCAGGCAGGGGTTTTACCCTCCCTCCCTGGGATTTCAGTCCCTGAATCTGGGACCTGCTGCATGTCAAGCAGTGTTAGCTCTAACATTAGCTAGCACTCCCTCTGCAATCATCTCCTCCCGTTTCAGAAGGCTTTCTGGCCGAAACATCCACAAGACTGCAGGTAAAGTAACGTTGTTTTTCACCTGCGGGGCACATGCGATCTCAACAAGCCAGACACATACCCTTCTTCTGTTTCGTTGATAATGTCACATATTTCCATATTCAGTGTCCAGTCTTCGCTCTGTAAGGAGCCGTCTGTGGCTTTTTCTGGAGTGGGGGGGGGAGAAAGCAAGATACTTTTTCACAATCTCCTGGACTGAAAGCTAATTCAGAGACAAAGATCTATACCAGCAAAAGTTCATTCACGTATGGGCAGTTAAAAAAAAAGAACAGGAAATGCTACCGAAAAAACAGAAGATACGAGTTTATTCTCCACTAAACTCCTTTTCAAATAAAACATTTGGCACAATAATGACTCAGAACAATAATAGCAATATAATAATTTTATATAATAAATAATAAATGGAGGCCACCAACATAAAATTCTGCATTACAAAGAACATGCAATTAGATAGATCCCTTCTCCCATGGGTGGATAAACTACCAAATGACAAAATGGAAATAATAGAGAGTGGTATCAACGCGGTGGGGGTGAGGGACAGATACTGTATACGGTAAAAGAAAATAATAATGTCTGATTATTACAGCTGAGCTTCATCAAACAGAGGGATGAGAGACCTGCCAAACATTCTGCAACACCGAGCGATAAAATATATTAATTTTGCCACAATCTAGATTTATCAATACTTCCTCCTCCTCGGGCGTCATGCTTTTACAAGCTCCAGCACAGCACAAATTTGTTTCAGTGTATATTTACTACTGCAAAATGTTGAGCCGACGGTCTCGAACTGTAACTGCTACTGAAATTCTGGTTATGTAACTTTTTTTTGCAATAGGCCACTTTCAGAATGCTTTTAGGGAAGGGGAAGCGCCAAGCAAATAAAACGTGATGACAAGGCATGCTCCTGTCCAGAATATTCCATTCCGCCAGCCGCACCCTCTTTTAGGAGACTCCGTGCCCTGTCCTGCTATGAGACGGCCCTGCCCTGCTCCAGGCCGCCTTTTGCCTTGACTCCGTGCAGAGCGGAGGCTGCGGATCATGAGCCAGCCGTGTCCAAGCAAGGAAAACGGCTTCAAAGGCAAAAAAAAAATATTATTTCATGCAGGAGGGAAGTACCATGAAGGCAACCCACAGGGTTGAATCTCAGCAAATGATGAGTTCATGTTTTAACCCAGCACCCTTTTGCATGGTTGTTCTCTTCCCTCTTGGCTGCAGCTGGCAGCTTAGTCAAACTTTGGGACTTCTTTGCATTCCCTCGCCTTGCAAGCAGCTCCATGGTGCCTGGGGGATTATGGGAGCTGTAGTCCAAAACCCTAGCTTTCCCATGCTCTGGGCCCACCTAAAGCTTCCCCTATTGCTTCCACCTAGCTTTACTAGAAGTTCATGGAAGTGAGAGCCGGACCATAAAGAAGGCAGACTGCCGAAGAATTGATGCCTTTGAATTGTGGTGCTGGTGGAGGCTCTTGAGAGTCCCTTGGACTGTAAGGAGAACAAACCTATCCATTCCAAAGGAAATCAACCCCGAGTGCTCCCTGGAAGGACAGATCCTGAAGCTGAGGCTCCAATACTTTGGCCATCTCATGAGAAGAGAAGACTCCCTGGAAAAGACCCTGATACTGTATTGGGAAAGTGTGGAGGCAAGAGGAGAAGGGGACGGCAGAGGATGAGATGGTTGGACAGTGTCATCAAAGCGACCAACATGAATTTGATCCAACTCCGGGAGTCCGTGGAAGACAGGAGGACCTGGCGTGCTCTGGTCCATGGGGTCACGAAGAGTCGGACATGACTTAACGACTAAACAACAACAAATGTTGCTGCTTTGGGCAGGCCTCGGGTGCATTTTCCAATGCTGGATCCGTCCCTCCTTTTGATTCAATTGGGCCAAACAGCAACCTCTCCGATCCTGAAAAGATGCCACTTTTCCAGGTGTGGCCCAGCACATCTGGGCGGCAACAGGCTGGGGAAGGGCCATGGTAACAAGCATCATGGAATTGGCTTTTGTATCTGGCTAGGAGAAAACTGCTACTGTCTACAAAAGCCAGAGAGAACATGCGGGGTTTCTATTTCAAGAGAATGTGATCATAATAATCCAGCAAGGATAACTTGCAGGCTTTTTGTCTAGGCAGGCAAAAGATCATTTATTTTCAGCACCTGCTTTGAGACGAAGCGTCCTCAGGACTTCCTAAATGAGAAGATGATTTTTTCAGCATCTGCTTTGAGACGAAGCATCCTCAGGACTTCCTAAATGAGAAGATGATTGATGAGACCCAAGCTTTCCCTGGAAAAGTGAGTCACACAACAGCTCCTGTGGCATGAACTACAACATACAGTTGGGAGGGACGAGTGGGTGTGTTAAGCCAACAGGGAGAGCTGCCCAGCTTGCAAATGGGAGATCCTCTCCTAAAACAGGTGCCCGAGTTCCTCAGAAGAAAGCTCCAGGTGGACTCATTTCCCTGAAGCTGGAAAGTACATAAGAACGGGTGCCTCAAGTTGAACTCGGCTTAGCCTTCCATAGAATTTCCCCACCCTTTTCTGCTCAGAACTTGAGCAGGCCTTGAGCGTGTCCGCTTAGCCTTGAACACCCTACAAGACAGAACAATAATCACATTGAGAAGCGAAGCCCTCAAAAGCCTGAGGCTGGGTCTCTTTCCATGAAAGGATGCTCAGAGATGCTCCTTCAACAAAGGTCAGCAAGTCAAATTCCCCGACGCTCAACAACACCCTTGCGATGCGCTTAACTTCCTCTTCTCTGGAGGTGGGCCTCAGTTTCCCAAGGAACGCCGTGTCTGTGCCCTGGTTTATTAGAAGGGGGTCGAAGCCTACGCTGGATGACCCGGAGGGCACAACGAGGAAGCTCTTAGGAGGCCGTGCCCTTCAGAACTGGGTCTTCTCTCTTTTTTCCACCAAGCAGCGGAGATGTTGCACAGCGGCCACAATCCCTCTGCCCTCCCCGCTCCGACCCTGCATGGGAATGAGGGCAAGTGGCCCAACTTAGGCTCCAGGGGCTACAGTCGTTAAACTTCATCTCATTTCAGACCAGCATCTCTCTCACCTTCAGAAGATGAGGCGAGAATTTATCCCAGTGAATAAAATGGAGTTTTAGGGTACCAAGACCAAGGGATGCAAAAAAAACCCAAAAGCAGGCGAGCGGCTAATTCTCTCTGGTGGCTAGAGAGCTGCCCTGGGTCTTGGGAGATCCAGTTTCTAGTCCTCATGACACTCAGCGGGCGACCCGCTCTCAGTCTCAGACTGATCCACCTCACAAGGTTCTGGCCATGAGGTAAAAGTGGGGGAAGAGCAGTGGGACGTGGGCTACCTAGAGTCCACAGAAGGAAAAGAGGAATATTAATGCAAATGTAAATAGAGAAAATAGAGGGATGTGGTGGTGCTGCGGGCTAAACCGCAGAAGCCTGTGCTGCAGGGTCAGAAGACCAAGCAGTCGTAAGATCGAATCCACGCGACGGAGTGAGCTCCCGTCGCTTGTCCCAGCTCCCGCCAACCTAGCGGTTCGAAAGCATGCAAATGCAAGTAGATCAATAGGGACCACCTCGGTGGGAAGGTAACAGCGTTCCGTGTCTAAGTCGCACTGGCCATGTGACCACGGAAGATTGTCTTCGGACAAAACGCTGGCTCTACGGCTTGGAAACGGGGATGAGCGCCGCCCCCTAGAGTCGGACATGACTGGACAAAAATTGTCAAGGGGAACCTTTACCTTTACCTTAAATAGAGAAAGGTCCCATCTCCAGATAATACTGATTCCAGTGGAAAACCTCCGCTGCTGTGAATGATCCCTTCCTCTACTGGTCCTCCATTAAGATGTGTACTTGTGTTTACCTTCCACCCTTTCATTTCCTCAGCCTCACTCCCACCTCAGCTAACCTCTATATATCCCTCGTCACACACTACACTGACTCCAGATTTGAGGACATCAAAACACACGCAATTATATTTCAGTTGTGTAAACTGAACTACAAGGTCATGCAAGAACCAGAGGTCTGCGCCCTTCTCTCCACACCTACCTCACCCTTCAAGCTCTCCCAAGACACTGAGCCCTAGCTCCCCAGATCTGTCTGTAGGGGGCAGCCCAGAACCAAGAAAATAAAATAAAATACAAAATTTTTAAAAATCCCTAGCTAGAAATGCTGCTGTCCTCTCTCCCTCCCCCCCCCCTCAAGCAGGGGGGTGTCCTGAGAATTACAAGCCAAAAAAGTAACTTTCTCCAAGACTAGTTTAGGATCTCATTTCCAAAAGCAGCCAATCAGATAATTCTGGGAAATTCACCTGCGGCTTCAACACCCCACTTCTCCACCCATTATTCTTCATTAGAACCTGGTAAGCACAGACAAAACAATTCCACAAATACCCACCCTGAAATAAATCATTTCGACTTCTGCCTTTCTCTGTGTCTTTCCCCGCTTCTTTTTTCCCTTCTCCTTTACTTTCACCAGATCTCTCGCAAAGATGGGAGTTCCACGACAGCTGCCAAATTTGCTTCAATGCTGTGACTGTTCCAAAGCGACTTAAAATCTAGTTGCCCTCGTGGCCCGACCCCTATGATAATGAACTTAATAAGCTAAATTACTCAAGATGCTCCTTAAAAAAAGAAATCCAGTAGGTACTAAAAATCAATGCCATTGTTTTGACATAAGGCTTCTTGTTGAGTAGCCATCCCCCGCTTACTCATTGCTCTCCAAAGCCAAGGAAACCACAATGTCTGAAGTCGGCCTCGCTACGGAAATTGCTCTGAGACTCCCGGACCGTCGACACCTCTTTCTGGATGCTCTCCTGCCTGTGATTACAGGGTAACAAGAGTTGCTGTGAAGCATGTTTCCCTCCTGTTCGTTTCCACCCACCTCGTTTTATTTCAGACCAGCCGGCACCCTGGGCTTTCTCCTAGACGATGCCCCCTGCCCTCCCGCTAAGGGTTGAGTTAATCTTAGGAAAGCATTTTTAAAAAGGATGGTTGTTGTGGGTTTTTCGGGCTTCTTGGCCGTGTTCTGAAAGTGGTTCTTCCTAACGTTTCACCAGTCTCTGTGGCCGGCATCTCCAGAGGACAGCAAACTGTGCTGAAGATGCCGGCCACAGAGACTGGCGAAATGTTAGGAAGAACCACTTTCAGAACACGGCCAAGAAGCCCGAAAAACCCACAACAACCATTAGATCCCGGCCGTGAAAGCCTTCGCAAATACAACCCGCAGGATGGCTGCCCAATGCAGTCCGAAACAAAAACAACTCCAATTTCTCCAAGTTCACAACTTAATGACATAACTAGAAAAACCTAAGTCATTCTGTAACCTGTGTTTAGTCATTGCACACACAGTTCAGCAGCTGTGGGACTAATGACAAAGTATGGAGTGGTCATTCGAGGAACATACATGTAAGACAGTCATGTAAACAAATGGAACTTATATAGAGCTAAACACAAGACATGTTTCCTTAACCATAAAAATGTACTGATGGGAAGAGAGATGATAATATTTCCAGATTTCCTCAACGTAAGAAATAGGGACATAATAACAGAATCAAGACCCAAAGTCAGGCACAACTGGAATATAAGATGCTGCCATAATTCGCATTGAATTAAAAACTAAACACTACAAAACAATCATCAGTGGCTGATAATGGCTGCAATCTTGTTGGCCGAGCAGGCCCACTGAATCAGTGAAGATTTGACGGGGCACATCCTCCATAAGATCCCCTGGTTCAATGGGCCTACTCTAGTGGCTGCTTACTATTGGATTTCAGCCCAAGTGTCTTTATTTTTAGTACAGCTAAATCATGGAAAGGGATCCCCCCCAAAAAAAACAAAGATTCACTCAGAAAATAGGGATAACTAGAGCAAGTGACATGGTCTGATTTGTGTGAAAATAGCTCCCAGCGGCCACAGATGAAAAAGCTGGATTTCCTACATAGAGATACAACTGTATCACAAATGTATCTCTTCTCATGCAAAAATCAGAATACTGTATTATTTTACTGAGGAACCTGAAGAACACTGGCAAACTGGAAAAGAAGCCCGGATAACCTGTTATAAACTAAGCATTGCTTTTAGCAGGTAAGGCAGGCACAGCCGTTATGTCTCGAACACACCTTCTGAAGGACAACAGAACTAGCGATTTAGAAGGACATTCTTGTTATTTTCCTTGCAGGGGTTTGGACGTTGTTCCGGCTGTCCAGGCTTTGCATGAGGCAGCATTAAACCACAATGATGCAATGCATCCAAACCAGTCTACCTGGTTGTTCAGCCAGGAAATCCTTCTCCTCCCTGACCCCCTTTTGCTATTTATTTCCCCTTGAATGATCAGCTGTAACAACTTGTCCTTCCTGCTTCTTAATTTTTTTCCTACGAAAGCATCTAAATCTTCTACATCTTCTTTTGCTGCTGTTTTTAAAATTCCTAGTCATTATTCCTTCTCTTTGAGATTTCTTCCCTGACCGCCATCCTTGGGGCCGGCATCCCGAATTATAAACAGACCCTGGGATGCCAAAACAGAGACTGCTGTTGTCGTGGTGTGCCGTCCCGTCGCCTCCGCCTTTGAGCGACCTTACGAATGACCAGTCTCCAAAACGTCCCGGATTCAACCGCCTTGCTCGGCTCTTGGGGCTTCCTTGGGGGAGTGGGTCCATCTCACATTGGGGTCCTCCTCTTCTCCTGTCGCCTTCCTCCTTTCCCAGCTTGACGGTCTTCTCCAGAGATCCCTTTTCCAGAGAACCCACCGTTGTCCCTTCTGGAGAATCCTGCCTTCTCAGGAGGTGCCCCCCCCCAAGTAGGACAGAGCCTCAACATTTTGGCCGCAGAGAATATAGCTTTAAAGGAGGTGGGGGGAGAATAGGAGACTTCCTGTCCAGGGCTGGGGGAGGCAGCTGGGCAGGGGAGCCAACACCCCCCCCCCAAATTAGGCCAAGAAAGCAGAGGAGGAAGCCAAAATCGCCCCCTCCTGCCTAGCAGCCTGGGCCTCCCCCTCCAACTCTCCTCCCTCCCTTCCTGTCGCCTGAGGCCTGCGGAACTCCTTTCCACTGGATCCCAGGAGTGCCCGGCCCCCCCGTTCCTCGGCCTGGGCCCCCCTCCCCGCCTCCTCAGGCCCCTCCACTTACCGAGGCTCTGCCCCACCGGGGTGGTGAAAGGGTTCCCCAGCAGAAACTCCATCTTGGGATGACAACAAACCCCGACCGGCCTCCTCCCGGCCGCTCCTCCCCACCTCGTCTCGTCTCCTCTCCGGCTCCCGCCTCTTGACTGGCAGCCGCCGGGAGCCAAAGGGAGCCCCCGGCTTTCCTAAGAGGACCGCCCTCCAAGGGGGTTGGACAAGAGGGGGCGGTCCCCCAATGCCGCGCGCTGATTGGGGGAGAGCCACGCTTCTCATTGACAAGCCGGACCCCGAGTTGACAGGAGTCTGACAGCGAGAAAGAAGGGGGAAGAGCAAAGGGAGGGCCCGCCTCCGGAGCTCCTCTATTGGGCGAGGCCTCCTGAAAGTGCTGCATGCTATTGGCTCATAGATGCGGACGGTGCCTAGAAGGCGGATATCGAGTAACCAACCACAACCCCGAAGGGCTGTTTATGCCACTCCTCATTGGTTGACCCCTCTTTGCTCGGCCGGCCCTCCTCACGCCTCCCAGGAGAGGGAAACCCCCCTAGTCACGTGACTACAGGCACCTGGAGTCTGCTATCATGTGACTTCCCTTAGCAACGGCCACGGCTTCCTTAGCAACGAGGCTGTTTTTCTGATTTCTACACCTTGGGGGGCCTTTTTTCCCCCTCCCCCCTGCTCACGATGACCAGCCGGTTGTACGACAGCATCGAGCCCAACGTCATCAACGAGGAGATGCTGCAGAAAGCGGTGGAGGAGCAAGGGCCTCAAGAGGAAGCCGGCCAGCTGGCCAAAAAGGAAGGGATCAACTTCAGGGACGTCAAAGAACTGCAGCTGGATTTTAGAAGTAAGGCCTGAGAGACGGAAAGGAACAGGCCTCTTTTTGACCCAGGCTTTAATCATCCTAGAATTTGCCTTTCTTAGGTGGCTGATGCTTCTCCATTTCTGGGCCGGCCCCATTATGGACAGGGTTGAAATAACAGAAAGGGGTGGCGGCTCATAACGGGAATCCAAGCGAGGCAACCAAAGATCTAAGGGCCACAGCCTGTCGTTGATTTCAATCCTTTTATTCTGAATCAGGAGAATTTGCCCTCTCTCTGCCGAGGGCTGGCACATCTGTGGAGCCCAACCACCTAACATTTCCATGGAATTGTTGTTTAGGAAGGGAACCCCGGGATAAAAACCTTCATTGTGCTGGATTTTTGGCACAGTCATTAATCCCCCCCCCGAGGAAATAAATCCAGTCCACAAACACTGATAACCCAATGAAACGTGCTATTTTTAAAGGCTCAGCCGAGATCTGTTCCTCATGTCCAGTGGTTACTTGCATGACCAACAGCTCTCCGTTTTCCTCGTGTGGTTTCAGATATCCTGAAAATCGACAATCTTTGGCAGTTTGTAAACCTGACAAAACTGCAGCTGGACAACAACATCATTGAGAAGATAGAGGCCCTGGAGTCCCTCGTGAATCTTGTCTGGCTAGGTAAGATCGGCTCATTTAAGGTTATGACATTCCTGTCTGCAGAGCCCCTCTGTCTTCGAGCAGGTGAGTAACACTTTTGGAGATTCTGCTTCCACCGACGACGACTCCTTAAGTTTGTCTTCTGGAAGTGGTTTCTCACTGGAGAAGATTCCATCTAACAGGGACGAGGCATTTTGGAATCCAAGTCCAAAAACAAAAATAATAATAACTTTTCTAAGGTCTGAGTTGTTTAATTTAGGATGAAATGAGAAAGAGCATAAACATTATTGTTTTAGAAGCAACAAATATCCTTTGGGAATGTTAGAGCATGTTTTCTTGGTGGGAGGCACATATGGTGCTTAAATTTTCAAGCTCTGGTATACAATTAAAATGATTGGTTGTTGTGGGTTTTTCGGGCTCTTTGGCCGTGTTCTGAATGATTAAAATGATTGTCTAAATTGGAAGTGTCTTGCACTAAGAGGGGTTCAGTGCTTTCGAGTTGAAGTCCAAGAACATCTGGAGGCCCAAGGGTTGGGACCACTGCTCTAGAGCATGTTTTCTTGGTGCTTAAATTTTCAAGCTCTGGTATACAATTAAAATGATTGGTTGTTGTGGGTTTTTTGGGCTCTTTGGCCGTGTTCTGAATCATTAAAATGATTGTCTAAATTGGAAGCGTCTTGCACTAAGAGGGGTTCAGTGCTTTCCTTCTTAGGGTTCATGTCTTTTTCATTTTTCCCGTAGATTTGTCTTTCAACAATATCGAGGAGATTGAAGGCTTAGAGGCCCTCATTAAGTTGCAGGACCTTAGTCTGTACAACAATAGGATTTCCAAGATCGAGAATCTGGACACACTTCAAGACCTTCAGATCTTCTCCATTGGAAATAACAACATACACAATCTGGAAAATGTGAGGATACCGTTAATAAAAAAAAAACCTGGCAATCTCTGGTTTCAGCTCTGTGCATGTTTACTGGGCTGTAAAATCCCCCCTTCCAAATATGGTGATGGAGATCTCTCTCTGTCCCTCTCTGCCACAGTTGATCTATCTCAGGAAGTTCAAAAACCTGCGCACGTTGAACCTCAGTGGGAATCCGGTATGTGACAATGAACAATACTCCATGTTTATCGCTGCTTATCTCCCAGATCTTGTGTACCTGGATTTTCGGCTGCTGGATGACAACATGGTAAGAATGTAAAGATGCCACAGTAATCTTTTTCTTTGGCCTAGGCTCTAAAAATGGCATTGCCTAGATCCGTCTAAGCCTTTTCTTCCCTTCCCCAGAGAGAAATGGCCTTGATTAAATACCAGTATGCCATTGAGGAGATGAAGCAAGGGGAAGCTGTGGCTTTAGCCAAGCAGGAAGAACTGGATGCGGCTGAAAAAGAGGTGGCATACCACAGGGTAAGTCTCCTTTGGCTTGCTCTGCCTCGTGGAATTCATCTAGAATGTGGAAGAGTTAACCAGGCAATGCTGGGAGTCGGAGTTAAAGGAAATATTTACTTCCCACGATGACAACGTTTTCTCCTAGACAAGCTGTTCCTCCATGCCTCGTGGAATTCATCTAGAACGTGGAAGAATTAACCAGGAAATGTTGGGAGTCGGAGTTAAAGGAAATACTTACTTCCTACGATGACGTTTTCTCCTAGACAAGCTGTTCCTCCACATCTCCATTCCTGAGAAACCAGGCTTGCAAATAAGTCTTGTGTTGACCTCTCTGTGATTAATCATGAAACAAAACCAAGCTGGTCTGTAAGATGCACATAGAGTCTGGTTTGCCTTAAGGCAAGGAAAGGTCTTTTACCTTTTAAGAGAGCCCTCCTCCTAATGCCATGTTAACTGTATAGTCCAGCTCTGCCCTCAGTGGTTGAAAATGCCTGGGACCAATAAGCCTGCCGGTTGCTGGGGTGCTGGCATGCAGTTGTACTAAAAATATTAGTACTTTTCTCAATAGAAACCGGATTCTCTTTCAGTCATAAGATTCCCTCCTCCACTAACCTCGCCCTTCTGCGATACTGCTTCTTTTCCAAGGCTGCTTACGTGGAGTATTTGAACGGGCCCTTCCTCTTTGACAGCATGTATGCCGAAGATCCAGAAGCCTCCAAGCTGATGTACCTCCCCGGAGTACCAGATCTTGTGGAAATATATCCTTTTTTGGCTTTAGAAATAGTCTTTATATCATCCACTGCTTGACCCTTTCGAGACCTGAGACACCAGGAGCAGAATCTGGGACCGGCTCTTTGCAAGACCAGCGTGGTGTCTGTTAACCGTGTTGGACGTGGACAGGCGTCCAGTAACACTAGACACAGAAGAGGGGTCGCAATGGAAGCAGAACGACTTGAGTGTACTCCTCTCTTATCCTCTTCCCGAATGTTCAGACAATCCAGTCCTGCCTTCCCCATTTAGTTGTTTTCCATTTCTCCCCTAGAACAGAGCTGAGCTTAAGTCACGTTGGTGTCCCTGACGGAGTTCCTAGCATAAAGCCATTTAACTTCTCAATTTGTTCCATCCTCCACGCACTGTCGCACCCAATTCAGGTAAGGGGAGGGGGGCTTTCCCAGGTTGGTGAATTGGGCCTGGACTTATTGCCTGAACGGCAGGAGCTGCCACTCCCCACTTGCTAAAACCCCATCCTCCTCAAGAGGTTCAACAGCTCCAGGGCATCGGAGACCTTTTAGATGGGTAACAGGCCGGGTCATCAGTGCCAGCAAGGTAACCTTGCAGGAAACATCCAATAAGTGAAGCAGCGCTGGGGTGCAATCTCTCTCTCTCTTTTCCCCCTTCTTTTTCCCAAATACCAAATGAGTTACTTCCTTGACTCCGACTTCACGTACAAGACTAAATTCGTGGCCATTTGCGAGAACCTGTTTGAGTACGGCCTGAAGCAGCACGAGAGGCAGGAGGAAGAAGTCAAGCTCTTCTATGAATGCCTCAACGAAGCCCTGGCAGAAAACCAAGAGCAGGGCGCCAAGATCATGCGGGCCTTTGAAGAAAAGAATAGTGGGGTACAACAGTAATAATAATAATAACAGTGTGTTGTCAAGTCACTTCTGACCGATGGAGACCCTTTTACAGGGTTTTCCAGGTAGGGAAGACTCAGAAGTGGTTTTTTTTTGTTTGTTTTTTTGGACTTATATACCGCCCCATAGCGCTACAAGCACTCTCCGGGCGGTTTACAATTTAATTATACAGGCTACACATTGCCCCCCCCGCAAGCTGGGGACTCATTTTACGGACCTCGGAAGGATAGAAGGCGGAGTCAACCTTGAGCCGGCTACCTGGAATTTGAACCCCAGGTCGTGAGCACAGTTTTAGCTGCAGTACAGTGTTTTAACCACTGCACCCTTTCCCTTCTTCTGGGGTTGCCCGGGGATCATCTTAGATTAGGCATCCTTCAGTCTCGAGAGGCTATGGCAACGTGCTCTGAACGGAGGACTTGGAACAGCGTCTAGTGTGGCTGAGAAGGCCAATTCGAGAGTGACCATCCCTTCCACACTGAAGACAAACACAATCTGTCCCCTGCCCAGCTCCCTGATTTGGCTGCTTTTGTGACTGCCTCTTTGCCTCGGCCTGCTGGACAAGGGTCTCTTCAAATTGGGAGAGGCCACGATGCACCGCATGCCTCCAGGCTGAATACACAGAGGTCAAGGTTTCTCATCTGTGGAGGTCCATTCTGACGGCCTTCAGATCCCGCTTGTAGATGTCCTTGTATCGCAGCTGTGGTCCCTCCCTCTGGAGCGTTTTCCCTCATTCTCCATACATGAGATCTTTTGGAATCCGATCATCAGCCATTCTCACGACATGCCCAAGCCAACGTAGACGTTGGGATGATCCCTGTGCAGCTTTTGCCCCCAAGGCCACCCAAGCTGGCTCTTCTCCCAGAGAGGCACCGTGGGGGAATCAACCCCCCCAACCTCTGGCTACGCAGCTACCTTGTAAACTTTATAGAGGAGTTTACAAACTGAACCGTCTTTATGCCGAAGCAGGAGGCTCCTCTGACTGCCTCCACTTTCACTGTTGTTGTTATTGTGTCTTAGTTGGAAAAGCGGGACTGTCGGCTGCACCGACCCCTTGGTTTCCTGCCTCAGACACCTTGGGAAACAGCCGTACAATTAACTTCTGAAACTCGGCAGGTGACAGGAAGGAGGGCAAGGAAGCAGGAGAATTATTTTTTTAAAAAAATCCCTCCCACCCCCATTCTTTGTTGCATTAGGAATGTTCTATCTGAAGCAGGCTGAGATAGGAGGAGTGTTTTTTTGGACTACAGCTACCCTAATCCTTCAACCAGCATGGCCGGCCAGGCTGCCTGGGGTTTGGAGATGGTCGTCCAAAATGTAACTGCGCCAAGTGATGCGTCTCCCTTCAAGGCAACGGGCGGTCAGAGCAAACCATTCTCATAGAAATAGAAAATGCGCCTTCTGCTTTCAGGCAGCGGCGGGTCACATTCCCTCCCTTGCTTGTCCGTGCAGGCCCTGGATGTCATTCAGAGCCTTAGCGACACCCAGGTCACCGAGCTGAAACTCGCGGAGTACAACGAAGAGATCTCAAAGCTGTCCGAAACGCTGATGACTCTGGAGATGCAGCTGGTTGACCAGTTAGAGGTAAGGCGAGGTTCATCCGACTTGGGTTTGGGGGGGACCTTCCTCGGAAGGCGAGTACGAAGGGGAGGAAGGGGGTCCCGTGCTGATACAGCAAGTGGTTTTATTTCTGGCAGAGCATTCAGGAGTTGCCACCCTTCTGGCTGAGCGTGCAAATTCCAGAAGCTCACCCGGGAAACTCTTGGTACGTTCTTCCACAAGGACACATATAAAAAATCTGTGTACTGTGTAAATTGGAAATACATCATTGGAACTAGCAGGGTTTGTTTCAAACAGAACTGGCCAATCCTACAGCACTCCACAATACAGTGGCGCCCCGCATAACGAGCGATTTGTTTAATGAAGAAGCCACATAGCGACTAAGTTTTTGCAATCGCAAAAGCGATCGCATAATGATGTTTTAAATGGCAAAACATCACTTTGCGGTGATCGGTAAGCGTTTCGCTTACCGATTTTCACATTGCGATGTTTTAAAAACAGCTGATGGGCAGTTCCAAAATGGCAGCCGGGTAAATAAAATGGCCGCTCGCAGTGTTTTCACACCCTTTCCTCATTTACCAGGCAGCAAAAATGGCAGCCGCATGGAGGATTTTCGCTGAACTGTGAGTTTTTTCCCCATAGGCACGCATTAAACGTGTTTTAATGCGTTCCTATGGGCTTTTTCGCCCCACGATTTTTTCAGAACAGATTATCGTCGCTATGCAGGGCACCACTGTATTCCCTTACACACAGATGCTTGCTGGAGGGTTCTCAGAGTAGCAATTTTTTAAAAAGTAAATTTGCCCATCTTGTTTTTTAAAGGCCAGATTCATTTTTACTGAGGTTTGCCCAATTTTGGGGTTGCGTTAACTCCTGCCCTTCATGTTCTCTTTCTCCCAAAGGAAGTCATAAAAGATTTCGAACGGAACATTGCCGACTTGGTGTCGATCTTCATAGAAAACGAACAAGGTCTATATCCTTTGGACTGTTTGCTGCTGCTGGGGGGGGGCAGACAGATTTTGGGGTCCCGGCAGGCGGATCTCGTCTCCTCCTCCTCATTCACGGACAGAGCCGGCCTGGATCCCGGGGTGGCCTGGGGCACGCCAGCGAGAGGAAAGAGGCGATCTACGATGGTAAGGTTTGGAGTTGGTGAAGCTACAGGGCAGCAATAGGTGGGAGTTATTCACACACATTGTGTTCATTAATGAAACAGCAATTCTGACACCTGGGTGTAGTATGAGTGATATATTTAGAAATAACCCAGAAACTTGAGAAGGAAAAAAAATATGGTGGGAGGGAGAGAGAGTGACAATTCCTAAGCAGCGATCCATCCCTGGATGGCTTTTCGTTGTGGAAACATTTCTCAGAACTATAAACCACAGAGTTTTCCCGCGTTTTTCTTTCTGCTAACATTTTTCTGAAAAACGTTGCTGTTTTTAATGCGCCACTGAGGGTTTTGCCTATAACCTGGAGCAGCAGTTGCATTTTCCGGGAGGCCCATTCTGAGAAGCAACCGGGGATGGGGGGGGCGCGGTGGTTGGAATTATTTGTGCCCTGCTCACTCCATTGGGGAGGTTTTGTTACTACAGTACTGCTCTCAACCAGTGAAATGCTGGGTCTTTGCCAGCCCGGAGGCCGTGAACCCTCCTCCCGTACTCTCATGCACGGCTCCCCCAGGATTCCCCCTTTACTTGCTTTTCCTTTTCCCATGCTGTTTCCCGGTATGTGGACTGAATGGCAAAGAGACCGGCCTGCTGGAGAGCTCAGTGGTTTAGATCTGGTTGGGAGTTCAGTTCCCCACCATGCTTCCTTCACAAGGGATGGGTTCGATTACCGACAGGGTCCCTTCCAACTCTGCGGTTCCAAGATTATTATTATTACCTTGAAATTCTGGGTGAATTGAATAATAAGGCAAAGAGCTTAGCCAAGGCCCACGTAGCTGTTCCCTGGGAGCGGAGAAAGAGCCCGTCTCTTGACTCCCGCTGGGGGCCCATCTTTCTGGTCCTCCTGCCGTGGACTGCATTCAAAATGCAACAACCCACGGGTGTGGCGCCTGAGGGACCACATCTTTGCTTTGGATCGAGCATTCATGTTCTTTGTTTCTTAACTTCCTACCACACAATGGCCCAGTGCCGGGATCTGGAGAACCACCATCATGAGAAGCTCCTGGAAACGGCCATCAACACGCTGGAGAAGATAGTGAAGAGCGAGTTTGAGGAGGACATGCCAGATGACGTTCGGATGGTATCCTCTTCTTTCTTCCCCTTCTTGAGACTAGGAAGGGGTCAAAATGTTCTTGTCTTGAAACCACCCAAATGATTCTCTTTGGGGGCTTCTTAGAAATTTATTTTTCCTTGACCGTGAAACCGGAGCTTGGAAATAGTTTGTTAAAAATGTCTTGGTTGCTCCTTACCGTAATGAATTTTTCAGCAATTATTTCAGGGTTAATTATTTTAATCACCAGATAATAACAAAAGTATTGGGCAGGAAAGAGGTTTCTTGTTCCTTTTATGCATTGCTAGCCAGCTCTGGGTCATTTGAAATTCTTTTTTGCAACAATTTAACAAGTCAAGGAACTGACTTTGCAAAAAAAAAAATCCCTGTTATTTTTAAAGTTAACTGATCCATTGCTTTCGGCTATTTGACCTGAAAACACCAACACCAGCTTTTCCGAGGGCATCACTGTAATCCACGTCCTTTACATCTCTTAGCTTTTTGTAGACAAAGACACCATCGTCAATGCTGTCAACGCCTCCCATGATATCCACCTCCTTAAGATCGACAACCGAGAAGATGAAATCATCACGAAAGCCAACAACTGGGCTTCCGCCCTGATCGAGAAGGTAAGCCTACAAGCCTGCCAGCCTTCAGCAGAGAATCTTTACCGGCGGGTAACCCGGTATCAGGAATGAAAGACCTTTGCCACTCCTCGGTTTTGAAGCATCCATTTGGGGAACGTGGCCAGGTTGTCTATGTGGGTTGCAAAAAGCACCGAGACTAGGTAGAGGGGGTTGTTTCCCACCTGGGATATCTGCCATGAGTCTTAATCCTTGCAGGTTCACAAGGATGAAATCCACAGAAACCGAAGCCGCGTCATGGAAATCAATCAATACATCGACCATCTCCAGGGGGACGTGGACAACTTGGACATTCTGGAACCGATCCCCGGGTTTTGACACAGAACGGTGGCTGACTCAAGTTTGGATCCAGGTGTTTCTACCTGGGAAGGGCATCCATACCGAGGTCTCCTTCCCCAAGGAGAGCCGCCCCAGAAGTGAGACTCTGTGTTCTGCTGGAGGGAATTCCCTCCCCCTGACTTATTGAATGACCCAAATCAGAAAATAAATGGACAATTCAGAGAAGCGTGACCTGAACCTGGTGCTTTGCGGTTATTATTTAGCTATCGGCCGACAGAGCTTGGATAAGTTCATATTTTAGATGACAGGTCTCAAAACCCTGGGTGGAAGATTTGGAGTTCGGATGGTATCCTCTTCTTTCTTCCCCTCTTGACACTTGGAAGTGGTCAAAATGTTCTTGTCTTGAACCACCCAAATGATTATCCTTGGAGGCTTCTTAGAAATTTATTTTTGCTTACCGTGAAACCGGAGCTTGGAAATAGTTTGTTAACAATTACTTTGTTGCCCCCTACTGTAATGAATTTTTCAGGAATTATTTCAGGGTTAATTATTTTAATCACCAAATAATAACAAAAGTATTGGGCAGGAAAGAGGTTTCTTGTTCCTTTTATGCATTGCTAGCCACCTCTGGGCCATTTGAAATTCTTTTTTGCAACAATTTAACAAGTCAAGGAACTGACTTTGTAAAAAATTCCCTGTTAGTTCTCAAAACCCTGGGTGGAAGATTTGGAGAATTGCAGATTTCAGGGCGAAGACTAAATTCTTCCAGATCTGGTCTTTCATTAGTGTTAAAATACTCTGATGCAGGCAGATTTGACCATACACAGACTCAAAAGAGAGAACAAGCGCTGTTTATTTCGAGATACCGCTCGGGTCCCCCAGGCACAAGAGACCTTGACCCAAAAGGGCAAAGCGCTTTTATGCCTTCTGACCACAAAAGGTACAGAAAAATCCTCCTTGACTGACAAGTAGGTCAAGAGGTTTATTCAGTATACATTCTATAGCAGTGGTCCCCAACCTTGGGCCTCCAGATGTTCTTGGACTACAACTTCCAGAAGCCTTCACCACCACCTTTGCTGGCCAGGATTTCTGGGACTTGAAGTCCAAGAACATCTGGAGGCCCAAGGTTGGAGACCGCTGTTCTATAGGATGGAACAGCAAAGGGGCATGGGTTTTCTAAGTACGGAGCCCCCCCTCGCCCCGATTTGGGTACTCTAACTTGTCTGCAAGCTGTTCTGCAATGACATTTCAATAGGAAATTAGGTTGATATACCACAGCCTAGCTTCGAAGTGGAGCAAGCAGGTCCTTTCCTAGCACCAGGGTCAGAGAGACAGAGAAAGGCAAACTATTTCTTATATTTTAGCACAGGCACCCATTTTAGAAGAATACTGGTCTGGGGTCTCATGGAAGCATCCTTCAGCATCTTGCATTTTCATGCTCTCAAGCCCTTCCAGCTGATTTCATCTTTGGGAGAAATCAATAAGGACAGGAGCCGGTAAGGCCAAGCTGTGACCATCAGTGATAGAAAAGAGGACATTCCAGGCACCCTGAAAGGTCATCACAAGGGGCAACATCTTACGAACGTTGTATAAGGGGCTCCTTAGTCTTGCCCTTTGTCAAGAACTGGGCATTGGTGGGAGGTTCATAAGATCCCAGGTACGCAAGCGCTTGTCCCAGTTCACAAAACAGAAACACAGAGTGAATCTTAGTTACCAAACCAGAAAACTGTGTTACTTTCAAAAGAAGGAAAGGAGGTGGAAAAAGCACACACACAGTATAATATAACCATTTGCTCTTTAATACTTCTATGGCACGGTTCCAAAATCCAAACAGAGCAGAAAACAGGAATGCATAATAAGACCAGTTGCCAAAAGCCACAATCGATGTACAGTACAGGAGATATGCTATCATTCATGAAGCCTCCGCTTGACTCAAGCCAGCAACAGAATCTTCTGGGTTTCCTCTGATGCCCAAATATGGACACGTCCAGATTATTTCTCTTTCCCTTCCGTCCCTCCTTCTATACACTTGATCTCCTGGGGCCGTGGTTAAACTGCTGTACTGCAGCCAAAGGAAGCCGGCTCAAGGTTAACACAGCCTTCTCTCCTCCCGAGTTTGGGAAAACGAGTCCCCGGAGACTTCGTTTTATAAGGAGACAAAACTTGTTTTGGGGGGCAAACTGTTTTATTGAAAAGTTCCCCAGGAATGTACCTTTTTACAGTGTCCTGAGGCATCTTGAAGGTTTTCCATTCCAAGTCCATCTTTTCCGTGCCCCCCCTGCCCCCCCATGATTTAAGGTATCCAAGCTGCCAGATGGGTAAGGAGAAGATCTAGCTGAATGAGCTATCTCAACACTCACTACTCTTTTCAGTTTTGAGAGCCACTGGTGCTTGTGCATGCATGGGTGCCAGGTTCTGGCGGCCAGTGATCGAAGGTCAGCTGAGGTGTGCACCCTTCTCCCGGCCTCTCCCGAGGAAGAAAGGGAAGCCGCAGCGATGGACCACTGGATCAGCAAAGGGGAAGGGAGGAGGCCGGTGGCCTCCAGCTGGAGCTAGTGAGGACGCCGCACTGCACACCTCCCCCCTTTCCGAAGAGAGAGAACACATGGAGGAGCCGATGAGAGACCGGGCCGGGCCAAAGGAGGGGTCCAGATTCCCAGGACAGGCCCTGCCCCATCATGGTGTGGATCGCAGAGAAGATGGAACTGCATCCGAACTTGGGGGAGGCTGTCCTGTGGCCCCTGCCCGAGGGGGCCTCGCCCGTCCCCCTGAGACCCGGAGCCGGAGCCAGTGGCCGTCAATCAGAGCGAGACCCAGCCCGAGGGAGCATCCTTCCGTCGGATCTCCGAGCCGGTCCTTCTCAAGAAAGTTGCCAAGGAGCAGCAGCAGGGCCGGATGGAGATCCAGCCGGCTCAAAGGCGACTCTTTTAGATGAGTTCCAAGTGGAGTTTCATCTTTTCCTGGGAGGCTTCCGGACGAGGAGAGGCAGGCTCGGAGAAGGAGCACGCCATCTTCGGGCAGAGTCTTCCACGGGCCTCTGTTCTAATATGGGGGTTGCCTTTCGTGGGCCTCTTTCCAGGCGATAGTCGCGGAAGAGCCTGAGTGACCTATTTGCAACAAAAGGCATCCCACGCCGACCCTGGACCTTTTTAACGAGGTGTTGAACGCGCTCTCTGGTCTCCTCGTCCATGTTGTTCAGCACGGAGTGTCTCGGGACACCTTCCCAAGAGAAAGGGGGGTTTTCCTCCTTTTTAATTAGATCCCTCCTACCACTTGGCAAGCGGAATCCAGCATCCGCTCTGTGGCCACCTTGGTTAGACGGGGCATTGCAGGGCTGGGGAGGGGGGGAGAAGAGGTCCCCCTCTCTTCTTGTGGCACCTTCTGACCCTTCCCCCAGGGAGACCGAAAAGGGGCACGCAGGGTTGGAGATGGAGTTGGGCTGGGAAAGCTTAGATTCCTTTGGACCCGCCGAGAATCCCTTCCCAAATGGAGACAGCCTATGAGCAACCAGAATAGGCCACCTGGCACAGTGCCTTGCCCAAAATCAAGGAAGGCCTCTCTTTTTTTGTGTGTGTGTGTATGTGTGTGTGTGTGTGTGTGTGTGTGTGTCTGTCTGTCTGTGTCTGTGTTGCTGTGGAGAACTGATTTTGTAGATCTCATTCTGGGTATATTTTGCAACACAAAAGGCTTGTGTGTGTGTGTGTGGGGAGTGTTTCTGTGGCCCACTGTAGGCCACTTTGCACCTCCCACGGCTTCCGACAGCTCAGGAGGATTTTACACAGCCCTGGGCACTGACAGTTACCTTTAAGACAAGTTGAATGAATGTGTGTGTGTGTGTGGGTGTTTCTGTGGCCCACTGTAGGCCACTTTGCACCTCCCACGGCTTCCGACAGCTCAGGAGGATTTTACACAGCCCTGGGCACTGACAGTTACCTTTAAGACAAGTTGAATGAATGTCTCAGAGAAGCACCCTTTTGCCTCCAAAACCCACCACTGGAAGCTGTCTGACTCTGTACTGGAGACCAGTTAGGAAGCAGAGATGAGCCACGCTGCTTCCCTTTGAGCGCACAGCTTAGAAAAGTCCCTTTTCGGGAGGACGGCTTGCAGAGTCTCCCCGCCAGATGCCCCGGTAGTTCAGACCCTGGCTAAGAAGAGGGCTCAGTCACGCTGAAGCCAGGGTGGAGAGAATCTGGCCCCAACCGTGGGCAGGACTTCGGTTGAAGAGGGAGCCCCAGGGCCTCGCTAGAAGAGAAACAGAGCCGCCCGAAGGGGAAAAGTCTGGTGGGTGATCCAGAGAGATTCTTGGTCCAGTCTCTGTTTGGCAAAGCCGCTTCCAGGAGACAGCTCCGGTTTGTTTGCCTGCCTGGTGTCGTAAGCATGGAAAGACCCGTGTGCCCGGAGGGATAACATTATAAGAGGAAGACACACCTGTTTGCTTAAATGTGTGATTTGACTCCAGCCGTGGGATGTATTGTGGTCTGCATGTGCCTCCTGCTTCTGACCTGGGGTCTGAGCAAGGACATAAAGCATAAGGAGTTGAGAAGGGCCCTGAAGCCGGATTTGGCCTGAGGTCAGTCCAGTTCAGGGTTCGGAGGGCACCCTGTCCAAACGTGTCTTGGAAAGGCCCTGAGAAAAGGCATAAAACCTGCTCTGCTGATTGCTTTGCGGCCCCTCCCTGCTGCCGAAACATCTACGTCTGTTTGCCATCGAATGCTGGGTAAATAATGAGAAAAAAAGACAAGCCGCTGCCTTATAAACTCAGTGGAGTCAAGGGTAAATCCGGGAATGAGGGTGACTCCCTTTCGAGACTCCAGACCCACAAACCGAAAGCGACTTGGTCCGGCTGTCGTCCGACTTTGCCGGGGTGGGTGGCTTTGAGGTTGGCTTCA